GGCACACAAGACTATTCATACATTGATATTTTTTTACCTTAAAAACTACTTAGTCTACGTGGCGCGCAAGTCGAATAGCTAATAAGCTAACTACGTCATGCGGTTGAATGTGGGGTGTGCCAACTTAGTCAGGGGTGTAAAATGAATGTAGATGTGGCATTGGGTGCGCTACTGACTTCTACGTCTTGCGATGGTGGTCAAGGAAGGAACTTGTCTCGGCCTTTGGGTTCTAGAGCCTGAAGATAAGGCTACTTGTTCTTCAAAGTTCACAAATCGTCAAAGCTGGGTTCAACCTCAGTAATTATATTTGTGATAATATAAGTACGCTGAACTGGGACCTCAGACTATACGGACACAAATACTGAAAAGAGATAAGTGTTTTGATCGTAAATGTGGTTCGACCATCTGAATGCTGAATTCTAAAATGTACTTGCGAATATCCAATCATAAAATAAACTCAGCTTTCAATGCGCCGAGCCTGGTAACACCTCACTTTGCCGAGAGACTAATGAGATGACCTCTTCCAACAAGGACTCGGAAATTCTCGTTGACCGAGACTTTGATAGATAATTAGTCGGTCTCGAAGCAGTGCTGTTTATCCAAACTAAAGGTGCTCCTCGGCTGGTTGATTCTACGGCTCTAATGTTATTTATCCAAATTGTAGATGTTGTCGGTTGCCTTCATAGTACTATCTATCCAAACCGAAGATTTGTTGGCAGAAAAAAGAGAATAAAAATCTCAAGGTGTTTGAGAGATTGTTTGCACATGGCAATTGTGCGTTGAAATGGAAGGGGTTTGAATGATGCACCCCCTCTCTATTTATAGCAGTGATTTCCCCAATAACCGAACTAGAATTTTACTCGGACTAGAATTCTCCATCCCAATCTGATATGGCCTCGACCAATCCTAACTCCTATAGGATTCTAAACCAAGCGCTTTAATCATTCAAATTCAACCCTTGACTTTTGGCATCTTTTCTAATTTAGAAGCTTTTAGCCTCTAAATAATCCCTATTGTATTAGGATTCGACCATTTCACCTTTAATTTATCCAGGCAGAAAATCACATTTTAATAGGACTCGACCGAACTCTATTGAGCTTGGCCCATGGCAGAGAATATTCTTGATACTCATTGGACCGAAAGCAACTCCAGGCTCGGGCCAAAGTGTTATCTTGGGCCCAAACAATATTAGATTCATTTAGAACAAGAGAAAAAAAATTCAAGTAGCTGAACTAGTAGCCACTTAGTGAGAATTTGAATTGCATTATTGCTAGCTCATTATGAGGCCTAGTCCTCCCTCACCCTCTTAATGTAGATAAATAACGTTTGTTCAAAAAAAAAAAAAAAAAAAGAACTAGTTTCCCCTAGAACGGCCTAGTCGAGCCAGTACCCTTACGCTAATTTACGCACATCCATGCGCGCCATTTTCCACACCAATGCCGAGAGGAATAAGAAAGGGTATGACCATCCCAAACACGTAGTCATGCAGAGAAGAAGGAAGAGGGATGGAAAATTTCCATACTTGGAAACTTTTCTCACTATGAATTCTCCATGCAATCCTGAATAATTCAAAAGTAAAGGTTTGTGAAACTTTCTACAAGGGTTATCTTTTATCCATCTAAAAGCCTTGTGAGGAACAAAAAAGAGTTACTCTCCCACCGAGACTTGAAATCCTACCTTGTCTTGAAAGAAATTGTCCTAATAAAAAAGGAAATACATCTCATTTTATTTCCTACTTAAACACAAGCAAATGTAAGGGCATTTTGGAGAATAAATTAAACACATAGTGAGAGAATGAAACGTGGATGTTAGGTTGAGATTTTACATATATTTCATACCTCTTTTGCCTATTATTTATTCATGGTTTTATAGTAGTTTGTTGAGTTTAATGCGTTTTGTGCAAATTTTATAAAAAAATATGATTTGGGAGCAAAACATGGATTTGACAATTAAAATACCAAGAAACCTGAAGGGTTGAGGTGGGCTGCTGGGCATACTATATTTGTGCTATTCAAAATTGGGCTAGTGCACTACTTAATAATTTGGGCCATTGAAGTCGGCCTAATTAATGGGTTCCCCTAATTCAATTATTTATCAAATAACTGACCAGTATTTATGTGAAGAACTAAATTATGACCGACATGTTGAGTTTAGTAAGTAGCTTCTCATAATAGTTACCATGAATTGCATAGTCGAGTAGACATACTGGTTATGATTTGTGCAATTCTTATAATTGTCCATTAAGCGTCAAGGGTTTCGAATATCTAAATCTATAATTAGCCATAGCTTGGATTGATACGTACTATATTATGACAAGAAATGTTGGCGAATTAAGGGATAATTGCTAGCAACATGAGCATAATTTAATGTTAATATAAATAACAGGGTTAGATGAGATTGAGAAAGAAGAACCTAATGTCTTAGTGTTAGCAATATTAGTTGTTTAGTCCTTTGCATATCAAGTTCAGCCATAATAATTCTTGTGTTGTTTATTTTTAATTTACATTCAGCGCAATACTAAATTTAGGTTAATCTGATCCATGATGGAACATCACTTTACTTATCATTATATTACCTGAATGATATTGTATACTTGCAATTATGTGAGAACTTGTATTTAAATATATTATTATTATTATTTTGAACAAACAGTATTATTTACATTAAGAGCGAGGGAGTGGGCTTAGCCTCATAATGGGCTAGCAATAATGTGGTTCAAATTCACCTTTGGCGAGATTTGAACCTAAGACCTCTTCCTTACAAATGAAGAGGAATACCATTAGACCATAGTACTAAGTGGCTACCCCCACTTCAAGCGCATCTTTGTATCAACTAAATCACTCTAAGAGTCCAGTCGGTGGAACCGGTGAACCACGCGAGCTGGTTAGATGCATGGGGCAGAGGGCTCGTAGTAACCCTTTTTCTTGATCTAGCATTTTCTTCACTTCGATAGTGAATCACCTACTAAAAAAAGAGGAAGGCCTACGGCAATGGGTTTCTTTTATATGATTTATATATATATATATATCTGTGTGTGTGTGTGTGTGGGTGTGTGTCTATATGTGTTATGTAGATGTTATTAATCTGGATTTTCATATGTTGGTCTAAAGGTGATGGCCAAAAGAAAGAATGATCTTTTTGTAATATTTGAACAGATGAATGAGTTATCTGACTACTTTTAAAAGATTTAAGATCAGAGGAATTTTTTTCACCCCCATCTCATTTTTCTTACTCTTTATTTAAATTTCATCTTGCGCACTGGATTCGGGATTCTTCACCGACTCTAGGTCCGCAACATGACAAATTATCACAAGTATTTGACACCATTGCCTTAAGTCTAGTTTAATTTAATTTACTTTTGTGATTTTTTATTTTCTTCTTTTATTTTGTTTTTTTAATTTTGTTAATTTTTTTTTCGGTGCATTTTCACTGTTTTTCATTGTTTCTTGAAGTGTATGTTTGGTACGCATTTGTTGGGTTGTGTTGTACTTGAGTTTGAACCTGAAATTGAGAAGAAAAAAAACTGTGAAATACGTAAGGAACAAAGAGAAGTTAGTGAGAAAGAAAATTGGCAAGAGGAGAAGATGAGGTTTGAACAAAATGAGACGATGGGAGACCTTGATATTCCAACTATTCTAACGTCACCTTCAAGCATTGTTCTCCTTGCTGTTGCCCGAAATTACAAGTGATGTGATATAAACTAACACACTAATTAAACCCTCTTTTTGATAGTTGTAGTATGTGAAAGTAGGGTTCGTTCTAGGCCGGGGATTAGAAGGGATGCTAATCTACACTAATTAGATTCAAAAATATAAAACTAAGCTAAACTGACTCAAAACAAGCTAAACTGACTCAAATAACTCAAAACAAGCACTAAGGGGTGATTTGGACTAAAATCTAACTAAATTGACTCAAAACATGAAAAGGGGGGTTTATTTGGACGAAAATTGACTTAAAACTAAGTAACTTGCAAAAACCAAACTAATTGATACTAAATTAAGATGAATGAAGGGTGAAATGCTAGCTAGAGGGTCATTCTCTACACATGACACATACACATACAAATCGATTTCCAATTATTATTCCTATAAACCATGAATGACAATGCCCCAAATTAATTGTGAACTGCACAAATTAACTCTCAGATTTTCCTAATTTCATTGAATTGAACTCAGCGACGCAATCAAATTATTCTTATCAATTTCCCTACATGAACTGCATGATAGAGATACATATCAAAGATCATTAAGTTCTATAAAAATCATAAGTATTGACAAGGCATTCGTAACTATGAACTGCATGATACTCTGCCATGGATTTACTTAAAACAATCATGACTAGTGATTTTCATTACTTATAAATATAAGTTCATAACGATTAGGTGAAATTCCCTTATATTTTAGCATCAGATTCATGCATGCAAACTAATTGTGCACCATTAATCAACATACAAGAATAGTTATCAATCAAACAGATAAGTAAATCGCATTCATATTTTACGAAACAATAACTGGAGGAAATCAATTCACATCACATATATGTTCATGACTTCGAATTCACCTCTAGCTAAAAAGAAATTAGTTCCACATATCCATCATAATTGAAACCCAATTTAAAAACAAACATTGAACTAAAACTAAGGATAGAATACACCTAAAAACGCTCCAATGGCCTTGGATGGCAAGTCGCGGCACAAGTCCTTCTTCTCCTTCCTTCCTTGCAAAGCTACGACACTCTTTGTATTTTTCTCTTTGAAATTCTCTCTAAAGCTCTCTATATCTCCTCTGAAAATTGCGGCACAAAGTCTGTATTTATAGGGTTCACGACACCAATCCTTGGATGACAAGGATTGGGCACGGCACAATTCTAAGAGAAGGATTAGGTTATTTGCATGATTTCAAGACTTCTAGAATCAGATATGCATTGTAAAACATGACAAGGACTCCTAAATTCAGATGGAAAGGATTTAGAATAAGATAAGGACTCCTATTGCAGCTGGAGATGAGTTTAGATAATGTTGGATTAAATAAGATAATGTTTGAATAATATGGGATAAGATAAGATAAGATTGGATAAGATCTCCTTGTTTTCAGCTGATTCCTTATTTTCCAAGCCTTAATCTAATTCTTCCAGATTTGTAACACATTTTTAGCATCATTTAAACACCAAAAACGTCCATCCATTATGCTCCATTCACATGCTATCCAATCCAAGTCCAAAACTAGTCCAAATTGTTCATTTTGGCCATTTATTGTCATCTTCACCAATTGAACCTACAATAATACAAAATAAACTAAATCACTATAATAAATGGAAATTAACTAAGTAAATGCAACGAAATAAGATAATAAAATCGCATAAATATGCTTCTATCAACGAGTTGAAGAATATTCATTTTAATATGATGCCCTCCTTTATGTACATTGTGAAAGACAAAACAAAGACATGGTTGAATTCCTTGAGGCTTGGAACCCAGACGAGCTCGAACATATTTAGAATAAACTAGAATTTGTATCCGCACGTTGCTGCAGGATTGAAAACCATATGAATATTCATAAACATTTTATTTCCTTGCAACTAATACAACAATATATAAAACACACTACATTCAATTTGGAATGTGAAAACAATTCATGCTAAATTCTAATTCCTTTCTACCACATGAAAAATCCAATTACTCTGACTCAAAACAAAAGCATTATACTTAATCATATTTCATCCAAAAATTGTCCACAAAATAAATTTTTCACTGACTCATAAAGAACTCCGAAATATTATACGAAAAGAAGGTAATGCATCTCAAATTTCTAATGGTATTCAATGTCTTCTAGTTTCTAGTTTCTTGATAGACAATAAATTAAATGCCATTAAATGTGTTCTAGTATCTTGCTAGGTAATAATATATGCATGCATTCATAATATATGTTATCGTTTAGGAATTTCTATCTTTAATTGAAGAGGAAATAATATATGCATGCATTCATGTCAGCATATATATCCTCTATAAAACCATGAGCTCCAAATAATGTCAAATGGTTATAAGTAATGTAAGCAAGTGTTAGAATAAGGGACTAAAACCATTGTGCATAAATATGTAAAAACTATAAACCTAAAACACGTACAAAGTATTTACATAAAATATATAGTAGTTGTTCACTAACTCCATTATACATATAAAGAGTCGTTGATCCTATCTTACCGATGTACTTCAAAAATGTAGTGCTTTGACTACTGAATAGTGGTTGGCAGCTCAATCCTTCCAACCCATCTCATCAGGAAGAAATATGTGAACAATGTTACAATGCTGCATCATTTTGTTTGTGTAATCATAATCTGAGTTGATAAGCGCAAAATCCTTTCACCAACCTAATGTAAAAATAAGTCCAAGTAAATTCCCCAAATTCTAATTATTGAAAAAATGAGATCCATTAGGAGTTAAATAATAGCGACATGCTGTGCAAAGATAAGATGCTATACAACATACATCATTTGATCCAAAAGCAAAAGTGGCAATTCTGGATGAGGCGCCACAAATAGGTCAAGCTTAAACATTATCTCATTCTGTATATATGCCCAAATCATTTTGTGTCCATGAACCATTATCTAATTCTTATTCAATGCACAAATAATAAATATACAAATCTGTTAACCTTTAGTTGACTCTTGACATGTGCTCGGAAGAGGGCTCTTCCAACATCCTGAAATCATGTCAAGAGTTAAAAAGGAGCATGAAAAAACTAATGTAAGAGCTCTGTAAGTCAATTCAGAGCACATAAAAATTTAAATTCTTCAATAAAAAACCCAAAGAGAAAAGCTACCTCAAGCACAAACAGCTTGGAAGCCTACACACAATAGCCCCAAAAAATGAAGACCACCGTTTCTTGAAAATAAAAAGAGAACCAAATCATAAAACAATAAATTTCAATTCATTTACAAATCCCAAACTACAAAAGCCCCAGATTTAAACAAAAGAAAACCACCCATTTCACATCTCGAAGAACTCACCAATGAACCCTAGAAATTCCTTCAAATCAAATCCAAAAACTGAACATGAGTACCTGGATTGAATAAAAATTAAAATACAACCAATTAACTGTTAACCATTTTTTCCCCAATAAAAAAATAAAAAAGAAACTTCAAAACACCCCAAACCATCCCAAATTCTCAAATCCGTTCAAAGAAACTTACCATGAAATCACAGCAACTTCACAAATACTCTTCATATCTGCACCAAAAATAATGAAAAAGAAGTGCAATCAGCCCAAGAAACAAAAGATCAGTAGAAACAAACCAAGAAAATCAAATATCGGAGAAAAATTAACCATCTTCATTTCTCCTTTTTTTAATTTTCATGCAAAAAATTGAACCAAAAACGAAAGAGCACCCAAACATAACAATTCCTTTATTGCAAAAAGCTGATAACTCATACAACTATCAGACTAAGGCACGAAATTAGTATTAAAACTAACGATTGAATTACAAAGTCAAGAGAGGAGGTAAGTTCTCCTGAGTTGTAAGAATGAAGTAGCCATTATCCAGTACCAAAAATTCTCATGTCCACCTTTATTCACATCATAGAAAATAATTGATTGGCAACGGTTGATAGAGTAATGGCGTAACTAAATCAATAAAGACCTAAAATTTTGGAAATACCCGCCATAGAATCCCCCAGTATCAATCCTTTTGTCTCCACATTTCAAAGTCAACAACTTTTCTCTCCTTCCCATCTCGGTATATCCTATATAACAACAATTTCTTGTTTCATTTCAGAAAATTTTGAATTTTTCTCCGTGAACACACAACTATAAAGCTCAAACCAATACAAATATTCTCATTTTATTTGCGGTACCGCTTCGAAACCAATATCTAAACACAATTCAATCAAATGCCCCCCCCCCCCCACCCCCAATAAAAAGAAGCATAATTCAATGAACAAAACTCAAAGCTTAACAGATTAGAGCTCGAATTTCAAAATTTACCTAAAATTGCAACAAAGCTCGAGGACGCTCATCTTGTGCTGCAAATTGGACCTGGGCTGCTTGAGCCTGATGCAGAAGACGGCAGCGGAGTTGACTACGTCTTCCTCCATGGGATTATCGGGCCCGTCCACCGGCTCTTCCACTTCGTCTTCTTCTCCTCCAATGCTCTCAATACTCCCCGTTTCGGGCTTGTCACTCTCAAGGGAATGAGCCACAGGCTCGTCGTCAGAGCAAAACTGACCTGGAAATGCTGGATTAGATCGGTTCCAACCAAATCCCAATCGAATCCAAAATAGGTACAAATCTCTGAAATCCAATACCAAAGCACATCATATATCAACAAAAAAAAAAAAAAAAAAAAAAAAAAAAAAAGAAAGAAAAACTTAAAACCTCGTCGTCAGAAACATGCAAAACTTACTTGTAAAGGACTGACAGAATGAGCGAAAAAATATTTCGAACCCAACCCAAAAGAAGCATAAATTAACGATGATCGAAGAACAGCAAAGCAAAAGACTCAAGCTTTTGAACAACAAAACCAACGAAGAAAGATGACAGAAAACAGAACGGCAGACGTGGAACCCGAGGTATGTGAGAGAGGAAAGAGGAAAGGCAAAGAAATGTCTAGAACGATTCTGATCTCCGTTTGACAGCAAAGCAAAAGTGGTAAAGTTGAAATAACAACAAAAAAAGCGGGGCAAAAATTGAAGCACACTGTTAATGAACATTAACTTTTTGTGTTGAGTTTTAGCATATGTATAATTTTTTGAGAAATTCCTTTTGACCATAAGACTAATACACTTATAGCGCGTTTACTAATCCGTAATCGGAATGAGAATAAAGAATCCAATTCCGATTATGGATTATACCTGTATTTACTAAAATTGGGAGGAATCAAAAGTAGACCTGGCAATTTCTTACACGACCCGTTAACACGACACGTAAACGACACGAAAATAACGGGTTTCGGGTCAACACGATAACTAATCGGGTCATTATCGGGTCACACGATAATAACCCGTTAATAACGGATCCTTAACAGGTTTACACGAGAGTGACACGCGGGTAACCTGTTTCGACACGATAAGAAAAATGCTATTTTGATGATTTTAATTTTTTAAACTACTAAAAAAAACTTACTATAAAATGCAATAGATATAATGAATATGTATATATTGTTTATTAATTATTATTTTATATAAACTTTAAATTTTAAGTTTTATTTATTTATTTATTTTTATAGTATATTATAGGCAAAGATTGAGATTAAAAATCATAAAACACATTAAAAATAAAAATATCAAGTAATATAAAAATACCAAACACATAAAAAAAATTATAATAATTAATTTCCCGTCTAATATTTCAAGAGTTCCATCCATTTCCCGCCTAATGTTTGGGAAATTTTGCAACCTATATCCATTCATTTCCCGCCTAATATTTAACCTAAAGAAACTCTAAGTGTTAGTTAATGTATCGTTTTGATGGGATACGCATCCTATGAAACAAATTTCAATGATCCAACCGTCAAACTTGTTTATATATGCTTCGAGATCGCATACGCCAAAATTTGCAAGAAAAAAAATATTCAGAGATCAAGAACCGAGACAAAACTTTTCAACGGTTATAAACGAAAAATCACTATTTAACGGTTTTTAACTCTGATTTTAATGATTTTTTACAGCTATACTCCTTGACCCTATATGAATATACTGAATGAATTGGATCTTCAATTTAAAATATTTACATTGGTGGATATCACAAAATCTTATGTTATACTTGATAAAAGTATAAATAAACTCTCAAGTGTTAGTGAATTTATCATTTTGATGGGATACGCATCTTACAAAACTAATTTCAACGATCCAACCGTCAAACTTGTTTATATATGCTTCGATATCGCATACACCAAAAATTGCAAAAAACAAACATTCAGAGATCAAGTAACGAGACAAAAAATTTTGACGGTTATAAACGAAAAATCACGATTTAACGGTTATTTTAACTCTGATTTTGATGATTTTTTACAGCTACACTCCTTGACCCTGTATGAATATAATGAATGAATTCGATCTTCAATTTAAAATATTTATACTAGTGGACACCACAAAATCTTATGTTATACTTAATGAAAGTATAAATAAACTCTTAAGTGTTAGTGAATCTATCGTTTTGATGGGATACGCATCCTACGAAACTAATTTCAACGATCTAACCGTCAAACTTGTTTATATATGCTTCGAGATCGCATACGCCAAAAATTGCAAAAAACAAACATTTAGAGATCAAGTAACGAGACAAAACTTTTCAACGGTTATAAACGAAAAAATCATGATTTAACGGTTATTTTAACTCTAATTTTGATGATTTTTTACAACTACACTCCTTGACCCTATATGAATACAATGAATGAATTCGATCTTCAATTTAAAATATTTACACTAGTGGATACCACAAAATCTTATGTTATACTTGATGAAAATATAAATAAACTCTCAAGTGTTAGTGAATCTATCGTTTTTATGGGATACACTTCCTACGAAACTAATGTCAACGATCCAACCGTCAAACTTGTTTATATATGCTTCAAGATCGCATACACCAAAAATTGAAAAAAACAAACATTCAGAGATTAAGTAATGAGACAAAACTTTTCGACGGTTATAAATGAAAAATCACGACTTAACGGTTATTTTAACTCCGATTTTGATGATTTTTTATAGCTACACTCCTTGACCCTATATGAATACAATGAATGAATTCGATCTTCAATTTAAAATATTTACACTAGTGGATACCACAAAATCTTATGTTATAATTGATGAAAGTATAAATAAACTCTTAAGTATTAGTGAATCTATTGTTTTGATGGGATACGCGTCCTACGAAACTAATTTCAACGATCCAACCATCAAACTTGTTTATATATGCTTCGAGATCGCATACGTCAAAAATTGCAAAAAACAAACATTCAGAGATCAAGTAAAGAGACAAAACTTTTCAACGGTTATAAACGAAAAATCATGATTTAACGGTTATTTTAACTTCGATTTTGATGATTTTTTACAGCTACACTTCTTGACCCTATATGAATACAATGAATGAATTCGATCTTCAATTTGAAATATTTACACTAGTGGATACCACAAAATCTTATGTTATACTTGATGAAAGTATAAATAAACTCTTAAATGTTAGTGAATTTATCGTTTTGATGGGATACGCATCCTACAAAACTAATTTCAACGATCCAACCGTCAAACTTATTTATATATGCTTCGAGATCGCATACGCCAAAAATTGCAAAAAACAAACATTCAGAGATCAAGTAATGAGACAAAATGTTTCGACGGTTATAAACGAAAAATCACGATTTAACGGTTATTTTAACTCTGATTTTGATGATTTTTTACAACTACACTCCTTGATCCTATATGAATACAATGAACTAATTTGATTGTCAATTTAAAATATTTACAGAAGTGGATATATACCACAAAATCTTATGTCATGATGATCTATGAAAATTGAGGATTTTGTAAAAGGAATAACATGTAAGCTTTGAGTTCCATTGGCAAGGTTACATGGTCGTTTAGATTTTTAAAACCCTCCAAATCTCATGAACAATGTTATTTATTTTAGTGAAAAATTAATAAAATTAATAATAATTATTGTAGAAGTGTGAAAAATGTAATCACTCGTAATAAAAAGCTTTACAACTTTCATTAAGGGGTCAACTCCGAAATTTAGTATGCATATACTGATTTAGTATTATGTTTTAATTTTTTTTGGGTCAAATTATGTTTTTCATTTTCATTTTTATTGATTTAAAATATATTTTTCTTAACGGGTAACGGGTCGGGTCATATTACCTGAAAATATTAACGGGTTGATTTCGGGTCGGGTCATATTACCCGTTTACTTTAACGGGTATTACACGACACGACACGACCCGTTAAGCTATCGGGTATGACACGAAAACGACACGAACACGAGAAACACGACACGAATGCCAGGTCTAATCAAAAGTGTGACACACCCCAACCCAGAAAGTCCACTTGGACCCTGAATCGAGCTGTGCTGGCCGACACCTGGAAGGTGACGAAGCCATAAAATGTGATAGTGCATAAAAAGTGATTAAATTTGAAACTAAAAGTGTCTAAATACCAGAGTGCGCTACGAGTGGGAGCGAACCCATTTCACGCGCGATGTCAGAGCATAAGTAAGGTACAGTAATGTGAGTAAGAATCATACCCTCAAAAATATCCATCAATACTAAGATTCGCCACAGATTTTTGTCGATACAAACTCAGCAGCTAAAACCTGGAGGGCACCAAAGAGAAGGTGTGAGTAAGCAATAAAACCAAGCTTCCCAAAGTTACTACCTCTCTAAAAGTAATGCCCCTAAATGTACAACCCGTATCGTTTTCCGTAAGACAGTACAACATATATACATATATCCAAACCATACTCGGAAATGACCAAAACCACGGTTCGCCATCAACTCCACCATACATCAATAAGTAGGCCAAATGAACTAAATCAATACAAAATGATATATCAATCAGAGTCAGCTAAAATGACATGTACAACTTATCTGTATCTCATCAATCATGGCTAGTATATAAGTCGGAGTCGCCTATAGTGACCTGTACGACTTATCCACATCTCGTCAATCCTGGCTAGCATATAAGTCGGAGTCACCTATAGTGACCTGTACGACTTATCCACATCTCGTCAATCTTGGCTAGCATGTAAGTCGGAGTCACCTATAGTGACCTGTACGACTTATCCATATCTCATCAATCATGGCTAGCATATAAGTCGGAGTCACCTATAGTGACCTATACGACTTATCCATATCTCATCAATCCTGGCTAGCATATAAGTCGGAGTCACCTATAGTGACCTGTACGACTTATCCATATCTCGTCAATCATGGCTAGCATATAAGTCGGAGTCACCTATAGTGACCTATACGACTTATCCATATCTCATCAATCCTGGCTAGCATATAAGTCGGAGTCACCTATAGTGACCTATACGACTTATCCATATCTCATCAATCCTGGCTAGCATATAAGTCGGAGTCACCTATAGTGACCTGTACGACTTATCCATATCTCGTCAATCATGGCTAGCATATAAGTCGGAGTCACCTATAGTGACCTATACGACTTATCCATATCTCATCAATCCTGGCTAGCATATAAGTCGGAGTCACCTATAGTGACCTGTACGACTTATCCATATCTCATCAATCATGTGCAGCACATGGCAACCAGTACGACAGTATCGAAGTTGCCTAACTCATAACTGTAGTCATGCTATAACTCAATCGATTCAATTAATACCATAAACTCACCTGAACTTACCTGGGTGTCCTGAGTTCACCTTTGCACTTGAAAGCATTCCCAATAATTATAAGCAAGTAATATACATATGGATATATCATGATGCAATCTACTACTCAACCATGTCGTAGCATTTTCAATTATAAACAATATGGTGTGAAGTGTACAATCAATAACGCCATACTCCCAAACTACTTATTTTCAGGGATACTTATCCATAACAATCCAATTAACTCTAATTTAACTAACTAATTCACAAAACTAAAACTTGTCTTTACCAATTT